TGGGACATGTTTCAGAACCCATAAATCCAAGTATAACATGTATAACACATAGTTTCAAGTCTAGGGCAGGTTTAAGAAAACAGAATACCATGCATAAATTCAAAATAACAAAAATGTAGGCACCTCAGCAACTTGTATGTTGACTCCCTCCCCCTCGATTAACATACTCTCAATAGTCAATAGCTGTGCAATAGCTCAGGTATGGTCATATGGCTCTCTCCTAAAACACAAGCTAGATTCTGTAAGATTTTTATTTTATTTGTTTTTATAATTTTCATCAGAAGACAGTTTAGAAGCAAGCATTTCTACCTCAAGATGGACAGCAAAGTACTAACTCTGTCACCCCCTTTCAAATCATTTTCTCTCCATCCCTCTCCCAGTTAGTTAGCAGGACATTTTAGAAGGTTCTCATAATATAATGGCCCTATAGCCAGCCGTATCTATGGACAAGGTCCACTGGGTCCAAACTGCCAGGTACATTTGTGCACACCACTGATCACTAAAAACTACCTCCGTTTTGCTGAACCCATAAGCTTATTGGTTGTGGCATAGTTTGTTAGCTACATTTAATATTCATATAAACATGGATTCCTTATGTGTAGTTGTGTGATGTAGTGGCATGGGTGGGGGCAAGAGAGGCAGAGGAAAATTTCTGGAGCAAGTTGTGCATTCTCTTGCAGAAGGGGCGGATCAATGGGCAATCCAACAATATGTGCAGAGGATTTCCTGCTGTGTATCGGCACCTCCAACACTTATCAACCTTTGGGTCTATGTTGTGCAATAACTATGGTGTTCTGTACCAGTAGACTAACAATTTGTAGGCTGCTAAAAAGCACACAGTGCTGATTAAGGTGAGTGTTATTCCCATATACAAAAATAAGTCCTGCACTTAAACTCCCACCACTCCTGGGCAGTAGCAATGATTATAGGTTAATTTGTTTTTTATTGTATGTATTGAGGCTGATGTGTACCATTGCCATTACTGCCACCCAGGTGTAATGGAAGTTTGAGAGCAGGACTTAATTTTGTATGTTTGTATTTGCTTTTTTATTACCAAGCCATGTTGTCGCCCACCACATGTGTTCCCTATTAGGGGTCAATAAGTATGTAGGTGTTTAGAAAAAATACCCCTCTCTGTCTCATTAGATTTTTTACCTGAAAAGCAGCAAGGTGAATTGTTAGCGGTAGACTTACGTAAGAGGTTTGCCTTGACGTGTCAGTTGAGCTTACACTTAAATGGCCATTGGAGTGATACTAAAAAAACTCCAGCTGTTTAAATGTGCATATGGATTTGGCATAGTGTGCAAGTAACTCTTTTCTTTGAGTGCAATTCCCAGTTCATCATCCCAATCCATGTCCAGCCAGGAGAGGGGCATCAGATTGGTTGGTTTTTAATTTAAATTTCTGGCATAGGAAACAAAGTACATCTAAGTAAACCAGTATGACGGTGTAACAAATCATGGTAGTTAAACACAATTCTTACTTATATCCGGTGTTAATATGAATGTGTTTTAAATTTCTTTATTGTTATCGTAATGCATTCGCAGGTAACATCATTGCGAGTATTGAGGCATTGTTTGCCCGCGCAGGGGCATACATTTTCAATACAGACATTTGTGTGCTTTTTGTCGCCTACGCAGAGGCTGGTTGGTCATTGTATGCTTGATACAGTATATAGGTATCGATTTGTTTGCTTGCTGTGTTTATGGTGTGCCTTTGTCGCGTTCGCTCAGGCTGGTCTGGTTTTGGGTGTTTTTATCGTGTGTTACACGTGTAGGTTGTGTCTGCGGGCCCCGTTGTGTCTGGTCCCTGGTTGCTCTGGTCACGTGCTAGCTGTATCTCGCTTTTCTGCTGGTGGTGTTCGGTCTATTAACTTCCTGTTTGTGTCTCCTCTGTGGGGCCATTATCTGATATTGTGCCATATCTTACTATGTTTTGATGTGTGTGGCTGCTGTCTGCTTGCGTGTCTGCGTGTCTGTTGCGCTATGTGACTGGCCCCGCGTAGCTTTTGTCCGTGTAGTCAGTGTGGTATTCTGTTTAGCGTGCTAAGGTGCGTTTATGGGTAATCTAGTAAATCTCAATGGTTCGTGTGTTTTAACTGTGGTATGTCTCTCTATCTTATTGCATTGTAGCCTGCCTGGAGGTGCGTATACATCAATTTTGTTTGGAGTATGGTTATTGGTTTGACAGCGAGGTTCCTTGGGCATACGTGTTTGTGTTTGGGCTAGTATTTGTCTTTGTAGGTGCTTGGCTTGCCGTGTATGGGGGGGGGGGGTTCGGTTGTTACTGTCCTAACCAAGCGTTTGGAGCTTGTTTACTCGTTCTGTTTTCTTTTGGTTCGCGTGGTTTTTTTTTGTACCTCCCGTCACTCTGGCCTTGTAAGTGGTCGGTTTTATTGTCGTCTTATGTGTTTGGAGGTTGAGTGTCTCGTGTAGTTGGTTCCGGGGCATGGTTGTGCGAAGTGTTAATTGTCGTCTGTTATTGTGGCAGTCGCATGGCTAAGTGTCCTTGTTCCTGATTATGTCTTTGTGGGTGTTCATGTGTGTGATTCGTGGTTGTTATCCTGTCTGTGTGTAAAGTGTTCGTCTCAGGTAGTGTCGGTTATTGTCTTAATGTGGTGCTGTCTGGGTGCGGGTTAGGGTGGGATGTTTGGGGTAGTCGGCCTCCCGTGCCCGTCCGGTCCGCCGCATCTCGCCGTCTTTGATTCGCTTCTTGTAGTACTTTCTTCCTCGTCTTCCCGTCGTCTTTTATTGCGCGATTATGTGATGTCTGAATGAGTCTCATCCAGTGGAACCAGCGTTTGGTGTGGTGGTCTCTGAGGTTCGGAGTTTCTGCTTTCATGTCCTCGAATATCCTTGTGGCTTCCACCTCCTCTGTCCACTTTGTTATGGATGGTATGTTGGTTTGCTTCCAGTAAATAGGGATAGTCACTTTAGCCGCATTTAGGAGTCTGGGGATAACCGATCTCTTGTATGTTGGTGTCGCCATAGTTGTGTGGTGTAGAAGGAAGGAGGCTGGGACTGTGGCAGGTGTTCATCTGTGACCTCCTGTATTATCGACCGGATTCTGTCCCAGAATGGTCTAATGCGGGCGCATGTCCACCATATGTGCGTGAACGGTCTCCTCCCAACATCTCCAGCACGTATCTGGGATTTCTGTGTTTCTGGCGTGAAGTGCTGTCGGTGCCAGGTACCATCTAGTAAATATCTTATACGAGTTTTCTTGTGTGCGTGCCGAGCTCGGTGTTTTCTGTATCAGGGTCATGTTTTTATCCCAGTCCGCTTCCGTCATCTGCTCCTCCAAGTCTTCTTCCCACTTTCTGATGCACGGTGGTGCTAGGAGGTATCTGCTCATTATCAGGATAGTGTATATTTGTGAGATGGCTCGTGGTGGTTCCTTGTCCTGCGTGCATACGTTCTCGAATTGTGTTGGTTCTAGCGTATTTGGTGATTTGGGCTCTTGCTAGGGTGTGGGCAAATGTGTGTGGTCTGCCTGGGTAGATGTCCGCCAGTGGTCGGATTTCAAACGGGTGGCGGAGGACATCTTTTATGCGGGGTATCCTTGTCTGTCCCAGCGGGCCTGGTGTGGGGCCATATTCCCCTGCCGGGAAATCTGGGTTTCCCTTTAGGGGCAGGAGCGGGCTTGGGTCCGTTGTCAGGTAATGTTTTGTGCCTTGTCCGTGCCATATTTGCATAGTTGCCGCTACGAATGGGTTGGTGACATGTTTGCTCCCGTATGTTGTCTTGAGGATCCATGGTAGGGTTCTGAGGTCGCATCCGGTTGTGTCTGCTTCTAGTTGTGTCCATAGTTTTGCGCCGCTGGCTACTGACCAGCAGACTACTCTGGCGATGTGTGCCGCGTGGTAGTACTTTTCAAAGTTGGGGAGTGCCAGGCCCCCCTTGAGCTTGGGCAGGGTCAGTTGGGTATGCGCGGAGATTTGCCCTTCCAGATAAAAGTGCGAACTTCTGTCTTAAGTGTCGCGAAGAATGTTTGTGGGGCTCATATCGGTACCGTTTGGAATATGAAAAGTAGCTTCGGTAATAGCGTCATATTCACCGCGTTCACTCTGCCCAGCCAAGACATGTAGTAGGAACCCCATCTACGTATTTCCTCCTTTGCCTTTCGCAGTATCGGGAGGTAGTTATGGGTGTAGAGATCCCCCACGTCTGGTGTGAGCCAGACCCCTAAGTATTTCATTCGGCGGTCGCACCAGCGGTAAGGTTGTTGCCTCTGAATCGTTTGCTTGAGTGTGTTGCTGATGTTTATGTTCAGTATTTCCGATTTTGAGTAGTTGGTTCGAGATGTGGCCGGATATGTCGAATTCCACCTGTATCGCTCGTAGCGATTTTTCCGGGTCAGTAACCACGAACAGCATGTCATCTGCATATGCCAGGGTTTTGTGGTGTGTGTTTCCGACTGTCAGCCCTCGGATGTCCGCGTTCTGTCGGATCCTGCTCAGGAAGGGCTCCAGCGTCAGCGCAAAGAGTATGGGTGAAAGTGGGCAGCCCTGTCTAGTTCCGTTGTGGATCTGGAATGGGTCTGTCAGTGCCCCGTTGATCCGAATTCGGGCCGTTGGGTCCGTGTAGAGCGCCTGTACCCAGGTCATGTAGTGTGGGCCTATGCCCAGGTGGCGGAGTGTTTCAAACATCAGATCCCAGTCCACCCTGTCGAACGCCTTCTCTGCGTCTGTGGACAGGAGCAGGACTGGGGTCTTCTGCCCTCTTGCATGTGTATGAGGTTTAAGGCTCTGATTGTGTTGTCCTTCACCTCCCTCCCTGGGATAAAACCTGTTTGATCTGAATGGATTATGGTCGGCAGGAGTGGTGCCAGACGTGCTGCCAGCATGCTTGCCAGAAGTTTGAGGTCCGTGTTCAGTACGGATATCCGTCGATAGCTTGGACACAGCGTCTTGTCTTTGTCGTCCTTTGGGAGGAGGGTGATGTTCGCCGAGGTGAATTGGGCTGTTGGTGTGGCTCCATCTTGGATTGAGTTCAGGGCTTTCAGTAGTTTCGGTAATAGGTCCGGTGCGAAGGTTTTATAGTATTATAGCCCGGTGCGCCGCCTGTTTTCACTTTTTTGATGGCGTATGCCAGTTCCTCGGGTGTTATGGAGGTCTCTAAGGCTTCCTGGTCCACCTCCTCTATTCCTGGTATATTTGCCATGTCTAGGTATCTGCGTATGTCCTCAACTCTTTGAGGTCTCTGAAGTTCTTGATTTGTTTCATGGTAGTAGTCGTGGAACGCTGTCGAGATCTGGTCTGGCAGGTGTCTGAGTTGTTGGTGTGCGTCTTTGATCTTCGGAATGTACAGTTGGTTTGGCGTTGCTTCAGGAGGTTCGCCAATAGTCTCCCACACTTGTCCCCGTGTTCGTGGATCATATGTTTGTAGTGTTGGTATGAGCGTTGGATTGCGCAGTTCAGGTGTGCGGTGAGTTGGTTCCATTTGGTCGTGAGTTCCTCGTATACCGTCATGTCCATGGTGCGTTTGTGTCTAGCCTCCAGTTCTTCGATTTCCTTACTAAGTTCTTGTATCGTCTGTGTCGCCTTCTTTTTGCGGGTCGCACATATCGCGATGAATCTGCCTCTGATGACCGTTTTGTGCGCTTCCCACCTTGTCAGTGGGATGATGTCATCTGTCTCT